TTTTGTATATAGGTTGGAACATTAAAACGACGAAGGAGAAAGAAGCAGATTGAAATTCATCCCGATGGGGAGGAGCCCAAGCACTGGAGCGGCAACAAGTGGCCCGTTCGTGGCTAAAGTGTCCTTTTCCATCTAACCCCTACCTTTTATCTATCTACTTTTCTCGAACGGAGAAAGAGAAAGAGAGAAAATTCAGAGGACAGGGTTTTGTCGTTAAAAAGAAATTCTCTCTTCGACAATAAGTGTTCTTCAAAAAGAAAGAAAACTTTTTTCTATCGAACTATTCAATTCTATCAAACGTTGAACTCATTCATATAAACACATACACATTCTTGCAAACTATTAATACACACACACACACACACACACATATATATATATATATATATATATATATATAGATTGGAGGAAAAAGTTTGTTGGTATTATTGTTATAAATTATTACAACATTGCATATAACTTTGACAATATTAAATTAAATTTGAAAATAATTGCATTAATTTCCCCCCCCTCCCCCCCAAAAAAATTGAAATAAAAACTGATCAAAGTACAATTAAAAATTGATTAGAAAATTAGAATTATTAGATTGATAATACTTGTTAGAATTATTTATCTCTTTTTTTTTGTTATTATTTATTTAATTTCTTTTTTTTTTGTTCTTTGCATTTTTTGCACAAAAAATACGAATGGAAATAGAAACCTTTTTCCTGATACAAAATATATATATGTGTGTGTGTGTATAAAAAAATGTTTATATCATCGTAATAGAAAATGACGCATTAAACGTCAGGTTTGGATCATTGTCAGATATTTCTTACATAAACGTAAGCTTTTGCTACGTCCTATCGACGAGAGATATTGACCTCAGGCTATAGAACCACGAAGGTAGCTTACTTTATATATATATATATATACACATATTATACATGTATATACAACACATTAAAATATATACAAGCTGTCCAATATACATGTATCATTCTTGTATATATATATATAATATACAGATGTTGAAGAATACCTAACTGCAGGTGCTATTATTTCGTCACGATGAGAGCTTGGCACGAAAGTGTATACATGTGCACGTATGTATGTATATATGTATATATTTACCACGTATGTCAGAGATTAAAAGAAAGAACTTCATCTTTTTAGACAAACGTTACAATTCTATTTGTAATTATTAGTAATATCAATATTATTATTGTCATCTATATATATATATATATATATATATATACATAAATGTTTTCTTATTTAAAATAAATATAATTAATATTAAATAATAAATATATAATAATAATAATAACATATAAAAAAGAAGAAACTATCTAACTATAATTATATATTATTATTACTTAATATTATAATTATATTATAATATAATATAATTACTATATAATATAATTAATATCATATAGTAAAATATAATTATTAAATATAATATAATATTAAGTAAAAAAAATAATAATATAATTATTGTTAGATAGTAATAAATAATATATAGTTATTATAATATAATATAGTATAAAATAATTATATTGTATTATTACTTAATATTATATTATATTTATTAATTATATTTTACTATATTATAATTTTTTAATATTATTATTATTATATATATAGAAAATAAATACTATACAATTATATAATAATATAATAATTATTTAATAATTATTATAATTATTAACTAATTAAGATATTATTATACAACTTAACTAACCATAACTATATATATATATTATTGTAATATTATTACAACTATATTCCTAAATTATTTGAATTATTATTAATATTATTATTATTATTATATTTACAATATATATATTATATATTTAATGTTATATATTCATGTTCATATATAATAATATATGAATATATTAATATATATATATCATTAATATATATCATTATATATTCAATATATGTGATTAAAATAATTAATATAGAAATATTTTGAAAATAATATAATAGCATACCTAGACGTGTTATATATACATAAATATATACATACATAGATGAATATATATATATATATATGTTTAGAAATACGTCAGTAGTAGTTGTCTACCATTATATACCTACTTTCGTATCGAATTCCTTCGTATAAATAGTCGTGAATGATCGGAGTCCGGTTGCAAGTTAGAAATAACTTATTCTACGAACGGAATAGTTTGATGGACAGGTTAACGAAAGTTAAGAGCATTGTCGTGCCGAATATTATTACGCAATTTCATTTTCTTCAAATAAATTTCATCCTTCACACATACATACCTATATATGTTCATATATATATATAAATGAAACTTATTGATATAGTTGATCATGTCAAGTTCCATCTTCACGAACAAATAACTATACGTATACTTATATATAATAAGTATATATGTGTGTGTGTATATATGTATAAAAAGTATTACATACACGTGTGTTCCCACATTGATCGTGAGAAAACCAGTTTAGGATCGTGTACGAAAGAAGATAGGAAAAAAAAAGAATGGAAACCTTCAAGATCGAAGAAACAGTCAAAAACTGTTGCAAACATTGTAGAAATAAAAAATATTAGAAGATTATATTCTAAAAAGAATGATGTATCTTTATATTTTATTTTCTTTTTTTATAATTTATCGAATTTTTATATATATATATTTTAATTTAATTTATTATTTATAATTTTATTCATATATTAAAATAATATAAAAAGAAATATGATACTTATTACTATAAAATTTTTTATTAAATTTAATAATTATCTAAATTATTATTATTAAATTTTATTTATATATTTAAAAAAAAAAAATTATATTTTCGTTATTATAATATTTTTTTTAAATAATTTAATAAATATTTATTATAAAATAATAAAAAATTATTAAGTATTTCATGCAAATATTATTTTATTATATATATATATATAATATTCAAATAATCTATATAGATTCATATGTGTCTGTATGTGTTTGTGTGTACGTATGTGTGTGTGTGCGTATATGAGTATTTATTTATTTATTTGTTTGTTTGTTTGTATGGGATGGGATGATACTTATGTATGTTTATACAAGAAGAAACGAATGCATGAATCACATTGATTTTCTTGCTGCGTCAAATTCGTGTCTGTAAATCGATCATCTTGTTGAT